TATTCCAGGCTAGCTTTAGCCAATAGCTTGGAGTTATTCCAGGCTAACTTTAGCTATTAGCATGGAGTTTTTCCAGGCTGACTTTAGCTATTAGCATGACGTTATTCCAGGCTAGCTTTAGCCATTAGCTTTGAGCAATGGTTGCCATTGTGTGAGTCATGGAACGTAGCGGTTCCATCTAAATGGGCTAGTAATTACTTAATTTAACGATAGTTTAATTCATTTAAACCAACAGTTTGGTTCATTTGAACGAATCCTTCAGTGATGCACACTGGGAGTTTCACTAAATGTGTGTTTATATGTATAATTATGACCAGATAATCAAATGTGATTCAAACATGTGTTCCTGGTTCCTGTTAGAAACATCCTGGCAGACATTGAAACTTGCTCAGAGGGTCAGTTTCTGGTTCTCACTCTGCTCAGATGTTTGCTGAGACCAGCTGGGAGAAGCTGCTTCCGTCCTGAAATGCACCTTGCAGGAGTGTTCATGTCCAAATCCCTCCGTTTCCACACACATGCACGCAGGCAGGGTCTGCAGATTTCATTAAGGATGAACTTTAGCTCCCTGCTCCTCCCCCTCCCCCTCCCCGGAGAACCAAACTCTGATCATAAAACCACATTGACTGACCCGCAGCCCGCGGAGGAACACAAACACACACAGAAACAAGCCGGGCGGCGCGGCCCGTCCTGCAGAAAGGATTTAGAGCTGCGTCCCAAGCGTTGCTGACATACTTTCCCACTGAACGTGTTGTCAGAGAGCAGAGGGAAGGCTGTGATTTGCGCCGTCGTGCACGGTGAGTGTGCGCGCTGCAGACAGACATGAACAGGTGCAGAGTGTGTGAGAGCTGAAGGAATGCAGGGAGACACAATAACAACCTGACTTCCTGCTCCCAGACATTCCCACAGTCGGCCGCAGATCGTCATCCTCTGAGCCAATCCCACTTTGTTTGCACAGAGAAATGACCATGTGAGGAAAACCGCTACATCTGCTGCTTCTGATGCTGCTTCTTTATGCGTTTTTAAGTCCAGAACCACGACTTTCTACTGCATGAACACCTGAAGACTTTTACTAAAACGGCAGAAAGGATTCAGAGAAAACCCCTGAATACAGCCGGGCTGAGGCTCCCGGGGAAGGACAGACATGGCGGCTCATTCCACAACACAAACCATCCCCTCTGGCCTAAAGCTGCTCAGCAAGCCGCATCATCACACTTCCAGCCTCGTGCTTTACAGCTATGCACTAGTTCTGTTTTCAGAGAGTTAATAAAGCAGCAGATCGCTCCATGTCGTCCAATGAGTCCCCTAAACCCAGCAGAGCAAACTTCTACCTTAACAAGCAGACAGAACATCATCAGAGAGCAGCAACACCCTGGCTGTGAAACTAAAGCAGCGCTGGAGGCAGGAAGAACGGAACAGAACCTTAAACCCAATCCAGCACAACTTTATCTATATTAACCAACATTCTGTCTGTTCCTGCCGATCAGCTGACCAGATGATAAAGATGATGGCGGCTCAACGACATTTAAAGACCTAAAACTGTACAAACAAACTTCAAAATGAAGCTCAGTTAACAGTGAGGTGAGTCTGATGCTACGATCCATCAGTCCAAAGCAGAGTTCTACTGGACCAGAGAGAAAAGGCAGAACCAGTCCTACTCCAGCAGAATCTAACATCTGGTTCTGCTGTAATGAAGCACTGGGATCTGATCAGAGAAGCTTTTTATTTTCATCTATTGTTTCACAAACATTTCACTAAATTTTAACCTAAAAAGGAGGATCAGCCTAAAGCAAAGCATCCTGAATATGGGCTCTGGTTCTGGCTTAGTGTAGAGAGCAGGTCGCTGACGTAGAGCTGGGGGGGCTGCAGGATCCCGGGGAGGAAAACATCATCAAAGCTGGGCTCTAACTTCCTCCCCGGGCCAAAGAAACGCCGCAGCATTCCTGCTCAAACCGGTTCCTCATGGATCCCACAGCTCCGACATCAGAACCCATGAAAGCCCTGATGAACATGGGGGGCTGCTGACGCTCCGGGTCTGTAACCAACAACAGAACCCGACGCCGCGAGCTGGACGGACATAAACAGAAACAAACCAGGAGAAACTAATGCAACCTGCTGTCTGTGACTGTGAGGAGAATCTGTTCCTCCTCCCTGTCTGCACCTCCTCCCAGCAGGAGAAAGGCCTCCTCCTCCATCAGACCCTCGTTATCTCTGATTAAAATAAACCTAAATAGAGCCGGTCGGTGGAACCAGAACCGATTCTATGGAAGGAACCATCATGGCTTCTGAGCTCACAGATCTTATTGGAGATGAAATATGATTGGGAGAATGTGAGAAACCCTGAAAGCCCAGCGTATAAACGACGACACCAGAAGAAGAAGAAGGAAAGAAGGAGGAGAATGTTTGGATTGATGAGAAACTTCCAATCAAAAACAAACGTTTCCACCATTCTGTCACCAATCAGGGTTTAAAGGGTTAAACCAGGAAACCGATTTCTCTGAATCCATGGATCCCAGCCGCTGTAGCTACCAGACCTGCCCGGGACCCCGCCCCTTCTTATGACATCATCGTATGGCAACTCCACTCGGACAAACTGTATCGCTCCCGTTTCTTAAGCATCAAATCTTGTTTAGCAAAAAAT